CATTTTAAAAGTTCATTTATTTTGATGTATATGTCACCATTTTAAAAGTTCACTGATTTCAATATTTAAATTTTCTCAATTATAATTTTTGTTACTTGCTCTTCATCTCTCAATTTCTGAAAGTTGAATTCTCCCATAATGATGTTGCTTGTACTAACAGTTTTTATTTTATATATATATATCTATTGATGCTTCCTTGTTCCTTGTAAAAGGGCTATTGTCTTTCCAGTGGGTTAAAATTAATATTGATACAAAATATCCCTCTCTTTTCTCATTTGAAGTTCTTCAATCTCAACTCTATTTGTCTTGTAGAATACAGCCATTTCTGCTTCTCCTTCTTTATTTTCAATCTGTTTAGGTAATCTTAATTTATTAATATCTCTTAGTAACCATACTATAAAATTTTCTAAGACTTTGCCATTTCCTGGGATACTGACATATGTGGACGTATTCAAGCCATTTTACTTTAAGTTCGCTATTTATCATCATTTCTTTTTTATTTCCTTTAGTGTTTTTTATTGGTTCATTTCTTTTTCATTACCTCACAGTGATTAATAAATTACATTCTTTTTATCCATTGTTTACTTGAAATAATCTGGAGTCTTCATTAAAAAGCCTCTTAAACATGATGTATCATCTTTTGTAGGAACTATTAATAGCATTAATCATCACAAATAATAATCACTTATTTAATTTATCTATAAATTTTATCATTTTTTGCATATATTTAATTCTATCCCATCTTATATTTTGGATTTCTTTTTCACTTTTTGGAGAAGACTAATAAGAATCTTTTAAAGATAGGATTGGTAAAGAGTAAAATTTGAATCTTTACATGTATGAAAATGCCTTTCATTTTGTCCTCAAGCTAAAATATAAAATTTCAGGTATGAAAAAATTGTCTTCTCTCATTTATCCTGCTTGAACTCAATGCATTCTTTCCACTTTAAGAAGCTGGTCTTTTTCACTGCAGGGCAACTTCCTTCTTGTATTTTATTATTACAGTCCCCTCCTTTGTCACTGTCCTTTATTTCTAAATCTCTATTAGATACGTCCAAAAGTCTACATCAATTATCCATGTTTCTTAACTTTCCTTTCATGTTTTCCATGCCTTTATGTCTTTGCTCTATATTGTGGGATATACATTTGACTTTATTTTCTTGATCACAGAATGACATAGAGTCTTATCCATTTAATCTTCAAATTGAATCTATTCTGATAATCATAAATTTCTGAGAAACCAATTTTTATCTTCTATTTACACCCTCCTTTGGCTTGCTTCCGTACTTTCTCTCTTTATTACATTTCTTAAAATTATGAATATAGTATACATAAAGAAAAATGAAAACCTTTATGTAAATTTTACCAGTCCAACAAAACTGAACAGTGCCAGCATGCCAGAAGCTCACAGATACTCTAATCACAGCTCCATTCCTCCCTACTCAGGGAAACAATATTCTGATTTTTATGATAATCATTTCCATGTCTTTCCTTAGTTTTTTTTTTGTTTGTATTTTTTTAATTAATAGACTTTATTTTTAGAGCAGTTTTGGGTTTGCAGAAAATACAGAACGTTCCCATATATCCCTTCAGACATACCTCCACACAGTTCCCCTAGGTTCACATCTTGCCTTACTATGATACAATGGTTACAATTGATGAGCCAATATCAACATATTATCATTAACTAAAGTTTATATTAGGCTTTACTTTTTGTGTTGTATATGGGTTTTAATATATGCATGCTCCACCATTACAGTATCATGGAGAACTGTTTTGCTGCCTCCAAAATCTCCTGTGCTCTACCTATTCATCCCTTTCTCCCCTCAGCCCCTGGCAACCACTGATAGTTTCATTGTCTCCACAGTTTTGCCTTTTCCAGAATGTCATATAATTGGGATCATACGTTGCATATCCTTTTCAGATTGGCTTCTTTCATTTAGCAATGTGCATTTAAGGTTCCTTTATGTCTTTTCCTAGATTGATAGCTCATTTCTTTTTATCGTTGAATAATATTCCATTATATGAATATACCACAGTTTGTTTATCCATTCACCCACCAAAGAACGTTTGGTTGCTTCCAAGTTTGGCAACTATGAATAAGCTACTATATACATCTGTATGGAGATTTTTGTGTGAACATAAGTTTTCAACTCATTTGGACAAAACCCTAGGCATACACTTGCTAGGTTACATGATAAGACTATGTTTAGTTTTGTAAGAAACTGCTAAACTGTCTTCCAAGCTGGCTGTACCACTTTCCATTCCCATTAGCAATGAATGGAAGTTTCTGACGTTCTACACTCTTTCTAGCATTTGGTTTTGCCAGTGTTTTGGATTTTAGACATTTCAATAGGTGTGTAGTAGTATCTCATTATTGTTTACATTTGCAATTCCTTGATGACAGATGATAATGACTATATTTTTATATGCATATTTCCCTCTTTGGTGAGGTATATGTTCAGATCATTTGCCCATGTTTTAATTGGGTTGTTTATTTTCTTGCTGAGTTTTAAGTTCTTTGGGCTGGGCATGGTGGCTCAAGCTTGTTATCCCAGCACTCTTAGAGGTCAAGGTGGGAGGATCGCTTGAGCCCAGGAGTTTTAGGTTGCAGGAACTATGATCATACCACTGTGTTCCAGCCTGGGCAACAAAGTGAGTCTCTGCCTTAAAAAAAAAAAAAAAAAAAAAAAAAAAAAAAAAAGAGTTCTTTGTATATTTTGGATACCAGGGCTTTATCAGATATGTGATTTGCAAAGATTTCTCTCAATCTGTGGCTTGTCTTTTTACTCTCTTATTTTCTTTAGTTTATATCCACCTAAATACTCAGCCTTAATCAATATTTTTTTCTCAACATTAGATAAACGAAAATAAGCCATATGTATAACTTTCTGTCTTGCTTCTTTCATTCAACATTACATTTGTGAAATTGACCAACACTATTATACATAGTTATACTTTGGTCATTTTCATGCTGTATAGTATTCCATGTCTGAATTTAACCCAGATTGTCCCTTTTACTACCGACAGACATTTAAGTCATTTCTAATTTCGAAAAATTCAACAATACTGGGGTGATATTCTTGCATGTTTATTACAGCATTTTAGGGAAAATTTCTCAAGAGAATATAGTTAGAAATAGAAATGTTGATTCATGGGGATCTTCAATTTTACAAGACAATGCCACACTTTTTCAAAGTGTTTTACTAATTTAAACTCATTCCCTTATTAGTGCATGAGAGTTCCTATTGCTCCATACCTTTATCAATATTAGTATTGTTAATTCTTGCATAATGTTACTGCATTTGGTTATAATTTGCATTTCACTGATATAATAATAAGGCTAAAAACCTTTCACATGTTTTCTCAGATGGGTGGATTCCTTTTGTGAAGTACCTGTTTAAGTCTTTAGCCAATATCAACATATTATTACAAACTTGAGTCCATAGTTTACACTAGGGTTTATTTTTTGTGATACATATTCTATGGGTTTTAACACATTTGGGATGTGTGTCTTTATTGTAATGATTTGTAGAAATTCTTTATATAATTTCTATCAGTTGTTGGCTGGTTATGCCTTACAAATACCATTTTTCATTATGTGGCTTATTTTTCCACTAACTTTTGTAAAGTTTATTCTTAGTTTTAATGTAGTTTAATGTTTAAAGTAGGAATCTTTTCCTTTATGGATAGTGCTTTTGGTACCTTAGTTAAGAACTCTTTTCATATACTGAATCATTAAAATATTCTTTTATATTATTTATGGTTTTGGCTTTCACATATTCATATTTATCCACCTGAAGCTCAATTTTTGATGTATATTTTCCTGCATCATGATAGCCAATTGTCCCATTACTATTCACCAAAAAGTCTGTCATCTACCCACTGACCTTCCATGGCACTTCATTCATATATACATATCTCAATATATCAAGAATCCATATATGTATGAAACTGTTTGGAGGCCCATTATCTATCCAATGACAATATCAGATTGTCTTAAATTAATATGATTTAAATCATCTTGATATCTGGTAGAGGAAACCCAAATACCTTGTTCTCAGTCTTGAGTCTCTTACTTGCTCTTTGTACTGGCTTAAAAATGTTGTAATTAGGTCATAAGGTACCCATACTCCCAATAATAAAACTATCAAAATTTTGATTGACACTAAGTGAAATCTATAGATCAATTTTGAGAAAACATGTCTTTACAGTATCTCTTCCAATCAATGAACATTGTACATCTCTCGATTTTGGTTAGGTCTTCTTTAACTCATTTTAGTCTCTCAATAACATTTTAGAATTTTCTCCACAGAGGTCTTTAATATCTTTTGTCAGATATATTTCTAACTGCCTTTTGTTTATGCTATTGTATAAATTTTATCTTTAAAAATTTTTAATTTTTCAAATTTTATCCTCAGTTTATAAAAACACAATTAATTTCATATAATAAATTCATAACCAGGAAACGTGCTAAACTCATCTATTAACTGTAATTTCCTTTGGATTTTCAATGTACAAAATCACATCCTCTGCAAAAATTACTAACAAGTGACCTCAGGGAAAAGGCAGCTTGAATGTTTAGCCTATCTATCTATCCAATTTCCTTCGGATTTTCCCAACTAATTCCTTACTATCCTTACAAATACTTTGAGACTTAAAAGAATATCTTATATGTGACACATAAAATGCAGCATTTTTAGTTGCTTTTACCTGACTGGCTGGTATGAATAAGCTAGCCTTTTGTATTTCTAAAATCAAAAATGATCATTACTTTGTAAATTTTTCTCCCAGCCCATATATTATTTGTATTTGCTAAAGAATAGTTATTCTATTTGTTTACTGCTGTCTACTATTTGATATATTAATAATAATTTTCCTCAAATATTTTATGACTCTTGGATGTTTGTTCATATTTTGGAATGAAGAACTAGGTTGATTAGTATGGATAACTGGGATGGGTTTCCTCCTCTGTAGTTCTGTTTCCCCCAAAAGAATGACTACAGGCTCTTTGTAAGTAGGTGGGAAAGATGAATCACTTTCTTCGAAAAGCAGTACTAGAGACCTTCACTGATCAAGCTATTGTGCCTTTAAGTAAGTGGTAAGGTTTAGGTTATCCAAGGGAATTGGACAGGTACCTGGCTGGCCGAGGCTTTAAGAAAGTAGACATCTAAATAATTTCCCTCATGATTTCTCAAAGGTCCATTCCTGTTCACTATATTTGTTGATTCTAGATGTTCCTAGATTCCATTTGGAAGAATGTCTCATGCTTCGACAGTACCCTCATCTACCACAGGTAATGTACTATTTTCTTTTCTCTGGTTCAGTCATTATTTTGATTCCCTCTGTTCTCTAAGTTCAAAGAATGTTTTCAAAATTTCTAGTCTATAGATAGTAATTTATAGAGCTTCTCTTTTTAGTTTGTTTCTTCCCCTCCCCATTTTATTTCAATCAGAATACAGTTAGGAGATCTGGAGGATACATATGTTAAGCACATCCTTTTGATTAAAAAAAATTTACAAATCTGGGTGTGAATGTATGTGTGTGTATAAAACCACTATCAGCACACACTCTTGTCTACCTGTTACATAGTAAGAAAAATTTTCAATATTTAATATATATAAAACAAATTTTATTGGTTGCACAGGATTATATTGCTCCATAATATGAACCATAAAAAAATAGTTTCAGTATTATCGTATAATTTGTTGATCGTATCATTAACAATCATATTAGGAGATCTTTTAGTATTGAACTATTTCTGAAATGAACTCTCCTTTTTACTAAGCACATTAACCTTTTAACATATTGCCAAATTTGATTTCTAAGTGGGTTTGATTATGTAAGATCTTTATCATGTCTTGAAATCAGCATTAAGAATATTGCACATACTGATGCATGAAATATATTCTTCAAAATGTTACAATTTATACTAATAATTTAATGAGAAAAAGTGAAGAGTAATTTTAAATAGCTACATATAAAGCTATAAAAATATTTCTGATAAACAACATAATCATTCAGATATTCAGATATAGTGTTTGCTTTTGAGATTTGTTCTGATGTTTGGGTTATTCTTACTTTGTTTTGCTTGCTGGGAAATACTAATACAATAAATAGTGTCATGAAATACAATTAGCATCTGTGGTATCAACTTTTCATGGATAAAATGGTTCAGTGAGTAAATTTGTGTAATTTTTAGTTTTTTGTATATTCACAAGTATATGCAACCATTATCATAGTCTATATTAGAAAATATTCTTCACTTCAAAAGGAAACCTTATACTCTTTAGTGCTCCACAGGTACACACGGAGGAAAGACCAAGTAAGGACATAGCGAGAAGGTAGCCTTCTGTAAGGCAGGAAGAGAGCCCTCACCAGAAATCAACCATGTTAGCACCCTAAAACCTGATTGCTATTCTCTAGAACTGTGAGAAAATAAATTTCTGTTGTTTAAGGTACCCAGTCTATGATATTTTGTTATAGTAGCCCAAACTGACTAAGACAACAGATTATCACAATAGTGTTACCGGACATGATAAGTCATTTCAAAATAATTAAAGATAGAGTCCAATCTCATACATTATGCTAAAATAACTTTTTATGGTTATGATTTATATGTAAGAAAAGGGACATAGAAATACTAAAGTCAAATACAGATAAATAATTACATATGCTTTGGAATAGAGAAGACATAAATCATAAAGTAAAAGATCGATAAAATTAACTATACAAACGTTTTAAAACTTTTACAAAGCTACAGAAAAGAAAAGCAAAGGTAAGAGACACAAAACTAAGAAAAAAGATTTATAACATGTATATCAGACTAGAAGTTAACATTCAGATTAAAGGCTGACATCCATGTTTTATTAATAGGCAATAAAATATAAAAAACCTATTAAAATATAAAATAAAGGCAATGTAAATGAACAGGAAATTCTAAGATAAACAAATACTCAAAACGTGAAAAGATTTTCATTATTAGTATTAATGAAAGAAGAGCATATTAAAATAAGATAATTTCTGTCAGATTAGGAATGATTTTCTGTTTTTAAACACAATCTTCTGTAGATAAAGGCAACAGGGAAATAGGCATTCTAATAGATGTTGCTCAGAGTTCTAAATCATTCACTATTTTTGTAGAGCAAATCAGCAATATCTAGAGCCTAAGAAATGTATAGATACTTTAACTCACTAATTTCATTTCTAAGAATTTGTCCTAAGTACAATTAATTGTGCAAGGATATGTGTATAAAAATATTCACTGCAATGTTTTTAATAGCTAGAAAAACAAAACCAAAAACCTTTTTTAAATCCCAGAATATCAAGTAGATCAGTTAAAAAATAATGGCACATCTCTACAATAGAATATTACATATATTAAAATTAAAACAAATTCATTAGACATTAAATGAAAAATGCAGCATGTTCCTATTTAAAATACATATTATATATTGTATACTCTGTATTTATATACTGAAAAAATGGGCCTTTAAATTTATATAAAAGAAAGCTAATAATAACCATGCCAGGGATTATGGCTAAAATTTGTTATTAATAATCAAAATTTCTAAATTATAATAAAGACCTTTTATAATAAAGTAAAACACTGACTAGTATACAGATAATCAGCTCTAAGTAATAATTTCTCTTGAGCGTCTTACATACCGAGTGGGTACGGAGTGCTGCGATGGTTTTTGAAAGCGCCATTTCCCATAGTTCATCAATGTAGGCTTTATTTACTAAGCCCTGGGTTGTATGTAAAATGTGATCTTCAACCACAAAAAAGCTAAGATTGAGAAAAAAAAAAGCACAGCTGTCAGAAATTACAGTTTGATTACTATCTCCAGGGTTCGACAAACATTAAGAGCTACCATCAAATTCAAAGTTAATAGTCATTTTTTTCTTCTGAGAAAGCTGTTTAGTATCATAAATGAAATCAGACTTCTTGGACTAAGAATTATATCCATAATCATGATATCTTCTTAACCACTTTTACAGAGATTGGAGTTAAATTTCTATTAAATGGTAACCATGTTATCCAGCTAAAAGGGGAAAATGTATAAAGGTAATGGACACTAATTTCACTATATTAAAAAACACCAGGCAATAAATTTTCAAAAAACTAATGGATTCGAAGGAGACAATGAGAGCTGAAATACAGATATATTTATGAGAACCTAACGCACAAAATATCAAAATAATTACCCTAATGTGGACTCTCATTAAAGTATTGAAAGGTATCTTATAAAGGTTAAAAAAAAAATAAAAGCAAACATATTTTTGAACATTCGTGTGGCTTTTTGTTACCATGCATTTAAAATGTATAGTCAGCTATCTTGCCTAAATGTTCATATTAATGAAAACAATATTTTATTAGGAAATTTTATGATAGATTTTAATCAAAACTATTAATAACCTTGAAACAATCTAAGTCAGACAAAAAAAAGAAAAACTTGATGGAAGAATCCAATTTATTTCCTTTTCTTTTAACAGCATAGTCATTATTTTGCAATTAGAACAAGCTGCCTGTATTTGGGGTGTTTATTTGGGAACTGCAATTCCATACCACGATATACACTCCAGATGAGGGTGGCAAACTATAGCCCATGGGTTAAATCTGGCCCACGGCCTGTTTTTATTAAAGACTGTTTTACTGGAACACAGCCATGCTCACTTATTTACGTATTGTCTCTAGCTGCTTTCGCACAACAATAACAGAGCTAAATAGTTGTGACAGAGACCATATGGCCTGCTAAGCCTAAAATACTTTACTAACTGGCCCTTTTAGAAAAAAATTGCCAACTTTCATTGATTATTTCATTCCATCTCACCAAGAACAAAAAAACAAAACATCATGTATAATAAGATTACAATTCAATGTTTTTCTCCCTTTATTCACAAAAAGTACCCTTCACTAATATAATGTTAAAACAAATAGGATGTTTCTTTTAAATCATCAGAAAATCAAAATTAAATCCTATCTTAAGGATTTAGAAAAAGAAAACAAAAGAATTTCCCAAGAAAAACCTGATTTATTTTTCCAAGTCTCATAATTCTATGTATTGAAAGTGTATACATTTAAATAAATATATATACCTACCCTACAATTTGATTAAAATATTTCCTGTAGCCATCTAAAGTTTCATGCTACAACAAAGCAAAGAAGAAAAAGTTATTGTTTCTGTTTTATTACATGAAGACAAAGTTAAAATTCGTTACTTAATCCCTTAAGTCTCAGTTCCCTAGACCTGCGGTCCCCAGCCACCGGGCCGTGGACTGATACCTGTCCATGGGTACCTGTCCGTGGCCTGTTAGGAACCAGGCCACACAGCAGGAAGGGAGCAATGGGCAAGCGAGCAAAGCTTCATCTGTATTTACAGCCACTCCCCATTGCTGGCATTGCCATATAGGCTCTGCCTCCCATTAGATCAGTGGGAGCATTAGCTTCTCATAGGAGCAGGAACCCTACTGTCAACTGTGCATATGAGGGATTTAGGTTGCACGCTCCTTAAGAGAATCTAATGCCTGATGATCTGAGGTGGAGCTGAGGCGGTGACGCTAGTGCTGGGGAGCAGCTACAAATACAGATTATCATTAGCAGAGAGGATTGACTGCACAATAAATGCAATGCACTTGAATTATTCCAAAACCATCACCCCCTACACCCTCCTGCTCCAGTCCATGCAAAAATTGTCTTCCATGAAACCAGACCCTGGTGCCAAAAAGGTTGGGGACTGCTGCCTAGACTATGAGGTAAATATAATAATAGTGCCTACCTTATAGGATTACAATGAAGATGAAATGATACAATACATATCTAGTACTTAGAACAATGCCTGACACATAGCAATCCATAGATGTTTTCTTACTGCAAATCACATCCACCAAAAGTGGTCTCAGAATGACAGTAAACACACACACACACACACACACACACACACACACACACACGCACACACACACTCTCTCTCTCTCTCTTTGCCTCTCTCTCTCTCTCTTTCTCTCTAATCAAAAGATACCAAAGAAGGAACGTGAAAATGTGAGAAAAGTGAAGGTAAGGTGGTAGTCCTACCATGTTAGATGGAGGCTGGAGTACCAAACGAGCCTGTTTTCGCCTTTGTTTTCGGTAATAATTCTCAAATGTTTCCCGGGCACCCTGGAAAATAAACAAAAGGAAATGGGTTGACAAAAATAGACCAATTACTCTTGCATTTCAAAGGAAAATGGAAGGTCCCAGGTCTAGAATTTGAGGTAGTACCACATTTCTCAAAATATGCCATTTTAACAATGATAATAACCTTAGAAAATAAAAATAACTATAACCATTTATTGAACCTTACTTACAAACCCATAAGGGTGGATACAAAATATCCTTATAAGGACATTTCCAGAACTCAATCATCAGCACACCGAAGCTGGTTTCTGAATCAATTATCACAAATTCACAAGGATGACGGCAAACCAACCTTTCTGTAGGTTATAATAACAGGTGAGGAAATGTTCCTTAATGAACTCACAGAACACTCCAGAAGAAAAATGTCCAGAAAAAAAACCAGGCGTCAAATGAATCATGAGCAAAGGACCAATGGGAAGCATGAAAAAGGCAGGAACTGTGAAAAGTAAATAAGTCTTTATAATCTAACGTAGGATTAAACCCCAAAAAGAAGAAACAAAGCCCTGGAAATTCTTGGTGCACAGTTTCCACTTTTCATTTAGGGTTTCTGAGCTTAAAAGGAGAGGGGCTGTAAAGAATAAGCTCTGGCTCATAAGCTCTGTACTGGGTTGAATAGTGTCCTCCCAAAATTCATGTCCTTCCCAGAACATTAGAGTGTGAACTTACTTGGAAATAGGGTCATTGCAGGTGTAATTAGTTAAATTCAGATGTAGTCATACTGGTGTAGGGTGGGTCCTTAATACAACATGATTGGTGTCCTTAATGGCAAAGAGAAAAGACACAGAGATAGAGACACACAGGGAGAATATCATGTGACAACAAGGGCAGAGATTGGAGTGATGCAGCTGGAAGCCAAGAACATCAAGAATTGCTGGTCACCAGCAGCAGCTATAAAGACACAAGAAAGGATTCTACCCGGTGTCTCAGGGGGAGCATGGCCCTTCCGATGCCTTCATTTTGGAATTCTAGTCTCCCAAACTGGGACAGGATACGTATCAGTTTTAAACCACTCAGTTTGTAGTGCTATGTCATAACAGCTCTAAGAAACTAATATAAGCTCAAAGTTTTTAAAATATCATGATCCTTCTATTACTAAATTCTACTCTTAATCCAGGGCTTTTTCTAAATAACCAAGAGCAGAAAGGAAAAGACAACACAACACAATGGTAAAGAACACTGATTTTAGAACCAGATGATTACATTCAAATCATGACTCTGCCCCCTACTAGATGTATTAACTGCTATAAATAACTGTATAAATTCCCTTCCACTAATTTAAGTTCTACTGTTTAACTACTTAACTTTCACTAATAGGTGTCCTGTGGTTTTCTCATTTGTAGAAATGCCCATCTCATATGGCTGTAATAAGGATTTAGAAGAGTTATAAAGCTCTTAGAACAGAATCCAATAAATAATAAGCACTTACGCAAGTGCTTATTTAAAAAATAAATAAAAGGCTGGGCACAGTGGCTCATGCCTATAATCCCAGAACTTTTGGAGGCTGAGGCAGGAGGATTGCTTGAGCCCAGGAGTTTGAGACCAGCCTGGGCAACACAGCAAGACCCTGTCTCTACAAATAAAAAAAAATTTAAAAAATTAGCCAGGTGTGGTGGCACATGCCTATAGTCCTAGCTACTCAAAAGGCTGAGGTGGGAATATTGCTTGACCCAGGAGTTTGAGGTTGCACTGAGCTATGATCAGGCCACTGCACTGCAGCCTGGGCAACAGAGCAAAACCCTATCTTTAAAAACAAAAAGAACAACAACAACAACAAAAAAAAATAGACACATACACACACATAGAGAACACCAGGTGAAGAAACAGACATACAGAAGGAAGACAGCCACACACAAAGGAGACAGAGATTCAAGTTATATAGCTGCAAAATAAGGCTTATGGAGAAACCACCAGAAGCTAGAAGAGAGCAGGGACCTGTCAGCACCTTGATTCTGGACTTCTGGCCTCCAGAACTGTGAGAGATAGTAAATTTCTGTTGTTTTAAGCTAAAAACAAATAAATAAGATAAAATCAATGGTTAAAGTGAAAGCCCTGGCCATCTGAAAAACTATGAACTTCAAGCAATACCTAATTCAGTTTCCTTTCCCATCCAGAAAATTTGAAAATTGTTATTCATCATAATTTCTTTGCTAGATTCCTAAATTGACCCTAAATTGGGACAGTTGACTTAAGGTACCAAATCATCTAAACACAGTAGTATAGCTCAGGAGTTAGCAAACATTTTCTGTAAAGGGCAGGATAATAAATACCTTAGGCTTGGTGGGCAACTACTGAACTCTGCTGTGGTCATGCAAAATCATTCATAGACAAGACATAAATTAATGAGTGTGGCTGTGTTCCAGTAAAATCTTATTTGTGGAAACTGAAATCAGAATTTCAGATAATTTTCACCTGTCATGAAATATTCTTCTTCTTTTGATTTTAAATGTAATAAACCATTTTTAGTTCACAGGCCATACAAAAACGGGCAGCAGGCTAGATTTGGCCCATGGGTCATGGTTTGTTAAACCCCAGTGTAGCTTGAAAACAAAGGTTTTAAAATTCTAAAGTGATTATGACTGTACACATCTGAGTTTTTCTGCCTATAAAATGAAACCAAACATTAGGACAGCTATTTCAAGGCTTTCACAGTTCACGAGTTAATGAGGAAGCAAATGATTCCATTTAAGAAATAAGAACTGGAAACTGCTAGTTTGTTAAAGTTATTCCCAACTTGTCAGCATTTCAGAGCATAGTGGTATTATTAAATGTTAATTACATTCTGTACACACCAAAGGGCTTTTCGTTTTAAGGTTAACAGCCCTAAAGGACCTTTATTATTCTAGTGTGACATTACATATTCAACGTGCTTTGGAGCCAAGAAACACTTACTTGAAAACTTAGGGAAAGCCTTGTCTCTAATTAGACCATAATACACTAATTTAATTTTTTTTATAAATGATAGAAAATATATAAGATGAAATTCTATATAAAAATCAAATTATGAACCTCTACTTAATTCTAAACTGGATACAGTTTTGCCTTTCAAATATTCCTTCAGTAGAATAAGAACAAAAGAAAAGACCAATTTATCTAATAGGTCTGGCTTTCCATTTACAAAAATGAGTTCAATTTTCCTTAGCGCCTATTAAATAAATTCACCTTTGGTTATTCTATTCCCTCTGCCAATTTTGTCAACTCAATGCTTAAAGGTGGAATTTGAGAAGTAGATGTTTGACCAGTCCAATTGAGTAATTGGTGAAGTACCTATCTATTCACAAATAGGCCACTAGCTGAACTACAGAAGTTGCACTTCAATTTCAAGCTCTTTCAATCACTAACATTAAAAAAATATATATATCACCTATCTCTAGTGAGACTGGCCTTTATCAAAAAGACCCAAAACAATAAATGTTGGCGTGGATGTGGAGAGGTAGGAACACTCATACACAGCTGGTGGGACTGCAAATTAGTGCAACCTCTGTGGAAAGCAATATGGAGATACCTTAAAGAGATACAAGTAGAACTACCATTTGATCCAGCAATCCCATTACTGGGCATCTACCCAAAAGAGCAAAAGTCACTCTATGAAAAAGACACCTACACTCGAATGTTCATAGCAGCACAATTCACAATTGCAAAGATGTGGAAACAACCCAAGTGTCCATCAATACATGAGTGGATTAATAAACTGTGGTATATGTATACCATGGAGTACTATTCAGCTTTAAGAAACAATGGTGATATAGCACACCTTATATACTCCTGGAAAGTGCTGGAACACATTCTACTAAGCGAGGTATCCCAAGAATGGAAAAAGAAGCACCACATGTACTCGCCATCAAATTGGTATTAGCTGATCAACATTTAAGTGCACATATAAGAATAACATGTATTAGATGTTGGGCAGGGGGAGGGGGGAGGGGGGAGGAGGGGACGGGCATATGCACAAACAATGAGTGAGATGCGCACCTCCGGGGGATGGACACACCTGAAGCTCGGACTTGGGGAGGAGGGAGGGTAAGGGCATCATACGTAACCTAATCATCTGTACCCCCATAACATGCTGAAATAAAAAAAATAAAAATAAATTTAAAAAAAAGCTGTTGAAGACATATACAAATAGATATAAAACAATAAGCAGGGAAGTAAAAAGGTTTTTTTCCTACTTTATGTTAGTAGTATTATAACACTCCAAAAGTTTTATGATAATTAATGCACACAATCTCACAGAAAAACAAGTCACTTAATATATACTAAGTGCTTACCATGTGATCAGCACTGAGAATGGTCCCTGTCTTCACTGAATTTATAGTCAAGGGTGGATGATTGGTAATTAAACAAGCAATTATATTCAAATGAACTAAACAATCCTATGGTTAGGAGTGATATGTATGTTTGAGTGTGTGTGTGTAGTGGGTGGGGGAAGTGTCAGAGAAAGCTTCTCAGAAAAAAATGACATGTATACTCCCAATTGAAGAATGAGAGGAGTAAGCCAGGTAAAGAGAAAGGGAAAAAATGTGCCTAGTAGAAACAAAGAGGTTCAAATTTTAAAAAGGCATCACATATCCCAAGAATTTGAAAGAAATTCTCCATAGGTAAAACTTCAGGTATAAGGAATAGGGCTGATAAGAAATGAGGCTGGAGTGCTTCATAAATTATGTTAAGATATTTGGACTCTAATGACCATAAAAGTTTTAGATATTTTGGAAGTTGTATTGTAGAGAGTAAAAGAAAGAAAGAAAAACTTCTATTCAAAACGATCAATCAGAATCTGAGATATAGGAGGTGCAAGCTGGTAATTAATTAGATATGGGTGATAAAAAATAGGAAGAAAAGAGCACTGATACAAGGTTTCTAAACTGGATAACTGGTTTGACAGTGATATCATTTAATGAGAGAGAAAACATATGTAGAAGGAATACACAATCTTCATTATTTACAGAGTCTTATTTACAAATTTGCCTATTTGCTAAAATTTATGT